CGGCGGGGGGTATAGGGGTACCTGTCCGGGGGTGGGGGCTGTTAATACTATCCCTCTCCATCTACGGACTACAGGCTGTAGAAGATATATCAGATTTCAGACTTGTTAAATATGAATCTTTAGGGACGCCATCTTATAACTGACAAATGTCATTTTTTATTAAAATCTTCATTTTTGAATATATTTACTTTTTTGAAGAATCATCCGAACCGTTTAAAAACGCTTTTATGTTAAACATTTAGTTTTTGAACCGTCATTTTTGATTGATTGAAACTTCAACTTGTGCTGTTTAGATGAGCTTTCTGGAAATAATTGTCAATCAAAAACTAACTGATGGATCTTAAAAGGGACTGTAAGCGTATTTTCAAGTGCCCCTCGTTTCAAAGATGGTATTGCCCGATTCACAACGGTACCCTTGAAACCTTTAACTGATCAAAAATGAGAAAGATATTTTTAATAGTATTTATATTCTGATAATATTAGAAATGCGCAAATCGGAAATCCCAATAATAATTCTTCCAAATGACAAACATTGATATCTAATTCATACTTTATCAGACAAAGCTTTTAAAGGTACCGTTGTGAATCGGGCATTGTCATTCTTGCAAGGAGATATACTTAGAATTACGCTTACATTCCCTTAAATACAGTTTACAGAAACATTAGAGATAATTAAGACAAAAAATATGCTTCAAGATTTTGTTTATCTTTTTTCTTGTTATGATGTCTGAAGTAAAACTTAGTTACAGGGTTTTTTATTTTTTCATAGATTTATTTCAAGATTTTTTAAAACGTCTATCTTAACATTTGAATTAAAAACAACACTTTATTTGGCAATAATTTAAAGTTTAAACCCTGTAATTTTTCTTTATCTCTGGAGCAAATAACAAATTTGTACAATTTACAAATCATTGCTTTTCTTCTTATTATCGATAAATGTTTTTCAAATGTTTGATGGCGTATTATTTAGTTCACAATGTTGATACCTTTTCGGAAACTGGAGTCGGATTTTTCTCACAAATTCTATTCGACGTGAAACGATATCAACTAATCGTCGGGGCTAGAGACGCTTTGTTTCGTCTGTCCTTGGACGGATTGACGAAGTTGGAAATCGCCGATTGGCCGGCAACATCGACGACAGTTGGACTATGCACGGCGAAGGGTCAAAGCGAGGAGTATTGTCGAAACTATATAAAGGAAATTTACCAGTCAAAAATTATCATGAAAAATGACATTTCGTCTTTCTACTTTAAGCTTTTTCTCATATTTTAATGTCATTGAGCAGAAAAATATTTTCTTGCAATCACCAACTGTTTGCAATTTAAATGCAGTACTTTTAAGATCATTTTGAATTTTTACTTCTGTTACATAATCTTAGTTGAAGTTCTACATTCATTTTGTTTTATAAAAACTAGTCCACATCTTTACAAATGTGTATCCTTGAATTTATCCCAATCAACCTCTTTAAATCGTCCTGTTTTGCTTGCCTCTAGCAATACAAGAGAAAAACAAATTTCAACCATTTGACCATTGCCCTGCACCCCCCCCCCCTTCATCCCCCCTTCCCCCCTAGATTTGTAATCTGTTGTATTGAACCAATTTCCGTCATGGTTTAATGGAAATTGCAATTAATCGGTGCCTAAATAAATTGCAACCACTGGACTCTAATCTGTCCGATTTAAATATAGGCTTTAGGCTACTTTCAACAAGATTAAGGTGTATTTGCCTATATAAATCACCCCCGCTCCATCCCCACTTCTACAACGCAAAATGAAGATATTCCATTTTTTCTTATGTTTAAAGCTAGTTTTTGACCTTTGGTATAAAAAGGGCACCCTGTAAAATTAAATATTCTTTTTTTAATTACATTTTTCCGGGTTTTAAACTTCTTAAATGTGTTGATAATTTTTCTTGACGCCCTGTTGTGGCTCAATTAGATCATATATTTTTTCTAGACACCCTGTAGGTCAGCTTGATATGTATCTGATGCCTATCTAATTACTTTAATCTCATTATTTACTATCAGTTCGGTTGAAAGGTATAACAAGGTTACTTGTTAGTAATATAAAACCTAGCCCCCCCCCCTCCCCAGTAAACATTGCACATATATAAGTTACCTTTTTTAAACTTGGTGAATATTTTTATCTAATCCCCCACCCTACTCAAACCTGTTCAAAAAATCCCACCCACCATTCGAAATTTAATTTAAGAAGAATTTTTAAATAATCCAAATTCCAATTCACTGAATTAAACCCAGATATTTTTCTGACTGGTTGGTTATTTAAAGGTATTAGTTGGGCATGAAGATCTGGTGTTTGCCTGTGGAACACATGCCTTCTCTCCTAAATGTTCCTGGCGAGAGGTTCAGGAACTAGGGAAGGTCACCAAGTGGATAGACGGAAAGGCGAAGTGTCCCTACTCCCCCTTGGACAACTCAACCGCCTTCATGGCGACCAACGGCGATTATTACATCGGTTCCGCCACGGATTTCTCTAGTAATGACCACGCGTTGTATCGTATGTCTGGGGCTGGTGTTGATCAGGCAGCGCTGAGGACGGTACAGTACAACTCCTTTTGGTTGGCACAGCCCGACTTTGTTGGATCCTTTGAAACTGAAGATTTTGTGTACTTCTTGTTTCGCGAAGCAGCTGTCGAGTACATGAATTGCGGGAAAGCCGTGTACAGTCGTATTGCAAGGGTTTGTAAAAACGACAAGGGGGGAAGCCATGTTCTTAAAGACAACTGGACAACCTTCTTGAAAGCGCGGCTGAACTGCTCGGTCCCCGGGGACTACCCCTTCTACTTTGACGAGATCCAGAGCATGTTCTACCTGGAGGAGGAGCAGGTCGTCTACGCGACCTTCACTACCACCGAGAACAGCATTACAGGCACAGCTGTCTGCAGCTTCAATCTGTCAGCCATAGAAACAGCATTTAAAGGTAAGGAAATCTTAGATTTTGCAAAAAAGGAAAAAATTTAATCTTGTCAAATTGTGGAGGGATCAATGTCTCCGTAATTTTAGTTCGATATTAACGATTAACCGGCCCTTTAATTGAACTAAGCTTAAATGAAGCACATTCGGTTTTCTATCTTGAAATTAGGACCTTAACATTTTTAGAAGTTAGAAATGGTTTCTACGCCACAGAAAGGAGAGGAAGTTGTCTAGATTTGTTTACGATAGAAAGCCTGCGTTTTTTTATGATATCAAAAAAAGGGCCAAGCGATACTGATGGAAATCTTTACTTGCAAATCATACATTAAAGTACCAACAATCCCTTTTCAACATTTTTATTTATTTAAAGAAAGGGGGTGGTGGCCCTGCCTTCATTTTTGGTTCAAATCTTCCAATTTTTTGGCTGCACGCCTAATTAGTGATCGAAATTCCTAAAATAAAATCAAATTGAATTTTAATGACCTCTAATGACCTCTAATGACCTCTAATGACCTCCAAT